GCCGGTGACAGCAAGATCCAACTGGCACAGGACAACTGTAATGCAAGCAAACCCCTGAAACACACCATATATCATCACTAAAGACTAAAGGTTTGTCCCGTTTTGCAAAGCCTCCTCATCTGTCATCTCACGGCCCATGCAGTGCTGAATCAGCACGTCCACATCATCTGCAGCAAAGTGCATAAACAATAGGGCTGAGAACCAATCAAGAACCAGGAAGTGACAAAAGCTGTGCAAACACCACTTGACATATTACAATCAGCTATGATAAACAACCATACACATGTCCCTGCCATGTAAAACACATGCCTTGTGTCAAAGGCTTCTTGGAGGCCAGGACTTTCTCACTGACCGTGACCAAAGCAGCTCGCAGATCATCAGGCATGGCAGGGAGAGCAGGACGAGACATAGTGCCTTCTAATGTCCACTGACAGATGGCACCTGGACCTGTCACTTGCCTGGACCTGTCACTTGACACTCAATGGCCAGAAGCAATGCAACAATTCAATCTCAACTCAACTCTCACAATTGATAAATGTTGGTGCACATGCCGAAAGCCCAAGAACAACACAATCATCTCATCTCAAAACAAAAACCACACTTCCACAACCTTTAAACAACATGTTGCTCAGACTGGATTGGTTCTCAGTTCTGGACACTAGGTGGGCAGGTAGGCGCACATCTTCTAAGCCTCATGCAGCATCCACGTTGACAAAGGCACTACATCAATGCATGTGTCATATGTCATGATGGTCATCCCTATGCTGCCCTAAATAGGTAGGGAGTAGAACACAGCGGGGGGGGGGGTTGGGGAACCTGCCTCATGGGGGGTGAGCACCGTTTTAAAGCCCGGCGGCTGTCGAAGTAATGCCGTTTTTGGGCCCGGCGGCCAATGCATCAGTTGATTCTATGGGGGTGGCCGTGACTTCCAGTGAAGGTCCAGTGAAAAGTGGTACGTTGGGGTGGTTGAATTCCGATGCAAAAAACAGCGCCCCTGTGACGGGGATCACACTCAGCACCCGAGTGGGACGGCTGAGCGAAACACACTCTGACATTGGTTTTCAGTGACTCTGTTACCACGTTGAGAAGGAAGGCGATGGAACGGCGTGGTGAAAGGTCCAAAGACTTGAAGGTGTTTTAACATTGAAGTTTCTCATCTGCAGCGGTGCGCCGACGACGCGCGCGGGCGGCGAGGGAAAGGGTTTAGGGGAAGTAGCATGAACCACCATGGAAACAAACAAAGAAAGAGTGGAGTGACAGCTTGTACAACAGTTCGGCAGGTACGTTTGCAGCCCCCACCAGTGGCCTCTTCGTTGGCCATCCGCCACTGGGGAGGGGGATGGCCCCCTGCCGAAGTTGGTTGATAACCCTTTGTCCAGGGGTGGACACACACACACACCAGGCCGATACCGGCGCTCAAGAGGTTTAGTCGTCACCTAACAAGCCTTAGAAAGAAAAGAAAGAAAAAAGACAAACAGATAAAACGAAGAGGGCAAGAGAGAAAGATAAGTTACTGATTGCTTAGCGGAATGAATGAAGTGCAATAGTTAGCGAGCGGGACTTTAGTCTTAAACCGCCCGGGTAGGAAAGACTAGGGACAGGAGAAAGAGAAGGAAAGGCACCAACACACAAGTGTGTTGAGTGCGATTTCCTTCTGTTACCCTAATTAGAGGGTGGGATAAGAGGTGTGAATTCTCGTGCAAGGGTGGGGGGAGGGGGTGGCTCGAAGGCACTGCCGTACACGGCGCTCCCTTGACTAAAAGTTCACCTGAAAGGAGGTGAAAAAGAACAGTACACTCGCTTGAAGTCTCTGAAGACGCGCGTGATCATGTGGTGCTGTTCAGTAGTTCGATCTCATCCAAGCAGAACGAAAAATCACTCAGGATCCGAAAGAAGCTCCAGAAAGCAGGACGAGGAATCAGAGTGGGTCCCTTTTGACGTGTCTATGCACATGCTGCGCGATCACTGATCACACCACAGCCCTCAGTGGGACTTTGTGGCGGGACACACTTAGATTGATGCTCGCAAGAGCTGAAACAGTTGACGACGGCCCACTTTACTGCAATTAGACCTTTACACGCAATTAGACCTTGGCTGAGGGAACGGAAAGGTGAGAAAGTCCAGAACAACAGAACTGTTTTACTGTGGACAGCTTGAAAGTGGTTCAAACATGTGCTGCAGGTACGTCCAGCTGGCCAAGCTGGATGTCCCACCAGATTGTATAGCTTTGTTAGACACGGTCTTCAATCTGGTACCGTGTCCCCCTGCCTCTTTTTTCTTTCTCTCAAATGCTTTAAGACTTACAGTGTGTGAAAGCCTTAGAAACAGGCGTTGACACACACACACACAGAGGCAATATCCCGGTCTGAATTTCCACTAGAAAACCAAAGGTGTTCAAAAATGAGATGACTATTTTTGTAGTGAAATGTGGTTTGATGTTGTAGCACATGTTTTTGCCTCAGGTTTTTTTGGGACTCGCATGGAGAACTGAAAGGCTGATAATTACACAGCAAAGTAGGTTGATGCAAAAATATGGCAGTGCTTTTTCAACGCATTGATGCTATAGTATATAGAGCAATAAGTGACCTTTTCTAGAGAAAATTGAACATATACTGTCTCATTATTAATACTATTCGTGTCTCTGATCCGTTTGGCGTCTTTCCGATTTCTTTGCAGCGACTGTTCCAAAAAATGCTACTACAAAAACCCAGGGTGGAGTAACTCTAGCGCACATTCTGTGCAAAAATTTGAAGGACCTTTGCACCCCATTCTATATATCGTTGTGGTTGTGTGTTGCGGGTTTTCTTCGACGCTATATATCCTCTTCACTTTTTCCTGATGCTTCATACCACCATTCTGGTTACCTTCAACCCTGGCACTGTGCTTGTCACCTGACCTTTGTTTATCAGTCTATCAGTTTCATGCCTATGTTCATCCACACTGTTGGAATTGATCCTGCAATATCATACTTGTCTATTTTCCTCATTCCACAGTTCCACCTTGCTATCTTCCAACGCGCAGGAAGAGCAAAGTCTAATAGATGGAGTAGGCAAGCGTGGAGGAAAGCACCACCACACGCAAGAGAGCTGTGTTTGTCCTCCTGCTCAACCTTGCCTTGACTTGCTCTACCCTTTGTCATGCCATGTGTGCGTCGCTGCGCCGCTGCATGTTCCACCGTGTTTGTATACAGTGCGCTCAACTCAACCAGTCATTTGAAATTTGTCCATTCTACTGTTCCAGTGAAAGATGTCCTGATTCAAGGCCTTCACTCCTACTACGGTAGTACTATGTAGTACTCTTCATTTATCCAGTTTGTTCAACAAAAGGTTGTTTATCTATGTTGGTCATGTTTATCTCAAAGCTTTTCTCCTTCTACTACTCTCATTGCTTTCGGTAGTAGCACCGTGCGCCCAAAGTGGGCTGCACCCGTCAATGTTGAAGGTAACCATTGACGATGATCGATTCCATTGGTGCCTGGTATACATTACTTTGTGATTGCAGTCTTTTGATAGTAAGACATTTGCATGTAACGGTATGGTATGTTATGGTACGTATGTATGTATGTATGTATGTACGTATTTTTCCTAAAGTTGTTTTTGGTTCTCTGCCAGCTTTGTTTGGAGAGCCTGCATCTCTGTCAAGAGGTTGGCGTATTGGGCTTTGACTCCATCGATGCGGAGTTGTAACTGGTTCTTCTTGATGGACATGTTCTTGAGCTCGGAAACCTGTCCTTTCAATTTGCCAGCTATTTCACGCTCTGTGATGGGCTCTGGTGCAGTGAGCTTGGATACAATCTCTTGTACCTGAGTTGGCAAAGCGGCCATGTGGGTCTTTAGGACGTCTTGAAGAGCGGGTTCTTCAGGCTTAGCTGGGCCAATGCCAAGTGCTTGTAGCTTCGTTTGTGTCTCTTCAGACAGGGCCGTCCAGCTGTTGGCCAACAATTCAGTTGCTTCTTGCTGTGCCCTGTTCTTCTTGAGGGGCCGGAGTTTGGTGAGCCCCGGCGGAGCTTCCAGCCATGTCTGAGTGTGGTTTGGCCGGTTGCTGGGCTTCCCATAGCCTTTGCCTTTGCCGTTGTGGCTTGGTGGATCCGGCCACCAATTCCCGCACTTTCTGCACTTGGTGCCGCTACGAACTTTGTCCGTCCAGATCCAGTTCTCACAGGTGCTTTTGGAGCACACCATGAAAGCTCGTCCGCATTGTGGCGTCATTCTCCCTGATAGAGGGCAGCAGTAAGGTCTGCTTGATGGCAGTCAGGTGGGCAAACTGGGTTTCTCCGGACACGATCTGGCCTGTGATCTCTGCAGGAAAGAAGGACCAGGCACAAGGAAGAACTCAAAGTGGTAGCCACGCGAGAGACTGCCAGGTGCAGTAGGTCACCACAGGAGTGTCGAAGGTGTTCAGCTTATTGCGAGCAAAGAAACAAAGGTACTTCACAAAGTTCCTGGGCCTTGCTTGTTATCGATCTTCGTGCAACAGTAGCGCTAGGGATTTGTGCACCAGCCCGATTTCACGGGCCACGGGCTTGAGCAGCTTGTGGCTTGAACCATGTATGTATGTATGGTATGTATGTATGTGTGTATTAATGCAATGTATGTAATGTAACGATGTACGTTATGTTATGTATATAATGTTATGTTGTGTTTTGTTGTGTTTGTATGTAATGTAGTGTAATGTAATGTGATGTGATGTCATGTAAGAATGTAAGTTTGTATGTATGTATGTATGTATGTGTTCGGACCATGAAACGGCTACATTTTGCAAGACAAAAGGTGGTACATAAAGTTTTGAACGCATGTCACATGACTGTCGAATGACACGACGAAGGCAACGCAGAAAAAAACAAAAACCCACACCAAAACGGTTTGTTGTGTTGCTTTCCTGGGCTTTGCCGAACAACTGCCCCCATATTTTTCGCGCGGCCTCAGTGTATATCCATAGATATGTACATATATATATATATAACCTAATTGTTTTTTAGGCAACAAACTGGCTGCTCCCAGGAAGGACTTCAGCTTGGCGATCAGTGCTTGTGTAAAGTCTGGCCTGTGGACAGTGGCGGTCGGCCTGCTTGATGGGATGCAGAACGCATCCATCACACCAGCAACAAAGCTGCAGTTTATCCTGTGGCAGTGGTGAGCCGGGAGCGTTGCGCCCTCATAGTTTTTGCGCACCTTTGTAAGGTTGCTGAGTGTTGTCAATTGCCGAGTCTCAGGACCTAAGAGTGAGCAATGCGCTCATCAAGGTCTTCAAACAAAATGGACGCTGGCAGCACGCGGAGCATATGCTTTTCCACATGCCAGCAGTTCCAGATGCGAGCAGTCTCCTTGACGAATCCGGTATTGTATTGTCGCATTTTGCTTTCAGAGTTGCATTGCAGAGAGAGCTTTAACTCCGAGCACTCCAAACTGCAATACCGGCATACCAATAGTTACATTCCAGTCGTCGCGACACTTCACTTGCACTACACTTGAGTATAAATGCAACATGAGCACATGGATCGTCCAGAGGGTGCAAAGCAAACGGTTGGAGTCCAAGATGCCAGCTTTGTTTGCAACTTGGTGGTACGCCTGTTGGTGACAGTCCATGCGGCAGGCAGTATGGTGTCAGACAGATAGATACAGATTGCGTCTGCGTTTTAATTCTGCAGTTGCCAGGTTTCAGCGCGACAATAGTAGCATGCGAGAAGGGCGGGGCATGGAAACATGCTCTCGCCGTATTGTTTGCAATGCCACCACAGGCACTTCCGAGATTGCGCTCCATTTGTTTGCGTTCTTGTGTGAAATCATTTGCCCAAGACCTTTTGAACTCCGTACAATGATCCTCACTCATGAAATTGGATGTTCCTTTCAATCAGTGCTTCCCATGATGCTGTTGGCAGTGCCAACATGTGCCTTCGCGCAGGTTTTGCCACCAGGTACTGCATGTGGGGCGGCAATGAGTGCCTGCAAGACAGGCAAGACCTCATGCATTCTGCTCTGGCACTGCATTTCATTCACCGCACGCCGCAAATTGTGTGGCGCAGGTGGCCAGTGGCAGCAAGCTATCGCTCTTTTGGGAGCCCTGCTGGAGATGAAGGAGCGCCGAGTTTTTGGATTACTGTATGAGTGTTTTAATTCTTGGTTTGGGAGCATTGTAGATGCTTGATTTGTTGAAAGGCTGCACTAAATGAGATCAGCTACAATGCGGCCATCGTTGCTTGTGGCAAGCACAGCTGGGAAGCAGCCCTGCAAGTGTTTGAAAGGACTCCGCCTTTGAATGTTTGTATTTGGTAAATTTATGTTTTCAGCCGAATGGAGCTGCTACACTGGAGACGCAGCACACTAGGACATGGACTTTCTTTTTTTTCAACGCGTTTGTGCAAGGCAGGCAGATACCGTTTTTCAGTGCACACAGGCAGCATCAGGGCATTATCAGTGCATCATTTGTCCCAGGTCCCAGCGGTTCCATGCAGTTCCTAGTTTCCATGGGCCATGTTAATATGGAGATTTGTTAGTTGCTTTGGAAAAACTTGAGCCCGTGGCATCGTTGACATCGAGGATGGCCCACCCCTCCCCTACTAGCGCCTTTGCTCCTAGTAGTACGTCCATATCATAATGCGTAGGTTCATTGAGAGCCTCTTATATCATCTCGTGAATGTTGTTCGCGACAGTGTTTTTTTCGGGTTCACGCAAGTAAACATCAGATGTTTTCTGGCAAAAGATCTGCGAAAGAAATGTGGACAAAATGAGCCAAGAAGACTTCGATTCTAGGATACACCCCCTGTGAAAGTTAAACATGGAGTTTGCGAAAGATTCACTAAAAATCATCAAAAGAATAATTGTGTTTCCGTAAGAAGGAATCGGGGTATCTTCACCATTCCCTAATACTATCCGCGGACACATTTGACAAAACACAAAGCTTGTGCAAACAAATGGATCAAACGACACCTGCAACTTCTAAACTGAACTTTCGACCGATTTCAGGCCGTCGACAAGTCACGGAGCTCGTGCATACGCTGAACCTTGCATGTCCGAAGCTATGTACAAGGCTAAATAGAACCCAGATAAAGTCACTAGCAGGTCACCCTAATGGACACTACAGTAACTCGAAACTCAAAACGTTGAAGATCCCGAACAGATCCAAGAAAACAGAACATGTGGAAGACAATGGTTGGCCAAACAGAACCGTAGAGGCGCCGCTACAAAGTCACTATTGAGTTGAGCCGATTTGGTCTGTTTTGCTTTGGCTGGAATGCCCTCCCGCCTTCAGCACACCAGTGGGTTCGGGAATGTTCGGGAGTTCTCTTCCCTCAAGGTGCTTTTAAGAGTTGCACCTTTGTAGCAGCACTATAGTAATCGGCTCAGCCCTCCAAAAAGCTGGTCATTTCTTTTGGAGGATGTGCGCTGAGCGTATTCAGCCTGATGTCATCAGCTATGGCTCTATTTTGCATTCTTGCGGAGTCAAAGGGCAGTGGGAGCTTTCATTGCTTTTGTTCCATGATTTGCGTTCCATGGCAGCAGGACCGTGTAGCAGCATGCACTTCAGCTTCTGTTAGTATGTTATATGATATTATATATATATAAACTTTTTTTTAAATGGAGAAATGCCTCATCATGAAGTTAAGGGCAAGTTCAGCTTCAACCCAACGAAATCCTGTACAGCTCTTTAATCAAAGCTTGTGATACCGGTGGCGAATGGGAAGTGGCATTGGACCTGCTTCGCTCGATTCACTTGGATGCTGTCCGGCCCGAAGCTTGTTTGAAAGGTGGATGGGTATGGATAGGACCAGGTGATGCAGAAAATCGGGAATGAAACGGTAAAAAAAAGCAAATCAGGACGCTTTTGTTTGTGGTGCTGCCATCAGCGCTTGCGAACAAGAAGGATCCTGGATGGAAGCATTGCAGCTCATGGATTGCAACTTGTCCATCAAAGCACGCTTCGACACTGTGCTTGAATCATTTTTAATTAGGTAGTGTGAGAGTTAGTGACAAACACGTCATCCCACAGTAGTCGCAGTTGTCGCATCACTGACCTTCAAGTCGACGCGTTTGCCAAAAAATCACTGTGTTTTTTGTCACGAGCCATCACGAGTCCACCAGCCCACTCTGAGGGATGTTGGAGTCCACAATCCAGCTGAACCTGATTTGCTGCAATGCAGCCCTGAGCGCCTGTGACAAAGGCCACCGGGGTCCTTTTTGTTCATTCTTCTTCTTTTGTTGTGCCGGAGTTTCTTTGGTTGAAAGGTCAGATTTTTTAAAAATAAAGTGGTCAGGCTGACTCCAGATTCAGATTCCCAAACCTTTTTGTTTTTAGTTCTATGTCTCATACACGTAGTAGGAGAATGTAGAATTCGCAGGCAGTGCGCTGTCACTACAGTCAGTAAGTTCTTTAAATATCCGCTTGCCGGCCTTTTGGACGGCCGCTTTGCCACTTGAGACCGCGACTTCATCTCAGGCTGTTTTCTCGATCTTAGAGGTATGAGACAACATTACTTGCACTTCATACCTGTCTGCCCGGGAAAAACTCTTCCTGAAGCTGGGTTTGGGAGGGTTGAGTGATTCTAGTTGTGCCCCACCCTTTCTTTGCGAGCTAATCACATTTGAGCTCAACCTGAAAGCTGACAGATAGGGATCTTAGCAACACCTACGCAAATGTCAGCGTGAAACTCTTGGATATATCAAGCTGCTTTGCAGGCGGACAGTGGCGCCGCGCATTGCTTTTGCTCAGCAGTTTGCCCAACTTCGTTGTCAAGGCTGACACAATCACCTACAGCGCGGTGGCTTTGAATGCGCTTCAGGGAGGTATGATCATGCATGGTAAGGTTAATTTAGCTGCGTAAAGTCTTCTACCGGCGGGGGCAAGAGACACACGGAGCTTAGCAGAAGAGCAACATATCGACACAGCCCCGCGCTGCTACGGGAAATATCAGGGGTAAGCAAGCATTTGCGATAAAGATGATGGAATCAGGTTGCATAGGTCTCCAAGCGTTCTCATCATGAAAGCTGAGTTTCTCTTGCTTTAGCAAGGTTTTGCTTGGGGGCTGGAGTGGGCCACCGAGTGAATTCTCCACTGCCAAGGGCCCCCGCCTTGACTTGCTGGTTTTGCTGCTGCACTCTTGCTTGCTGCTGCTGCTGCGCTGCTGCTTTGATTTGATTCGCTCTTGATCCCTCAAGCTGACTCTGCTTCTCTCAAATTCGATTGCATGGTGTTAGTGCGTGTATAATCCCTTCCACCAATTAACAAACACGGCCCCCCCTCCCCCGATTGAAAAGAACTCGAGTGCGTTTTTAAATGTTTATGTTTTTAGAATTTTAAATAGGTGATCCTTTTGAGCAATCATTGGTTATATACATTGATTACTAAAATACAGATTTTGTGCAGAATCCTGGGAATAGCTTCAAAACCGAAAAGTTACCCAGGAAAAAAACAAGATTGAAGCCACGAACCCGAATGAATCACACGTACAACCCATCGCGAGACCACTGCAAAAACAATCTTTTTGTGACACATGTGGTTGCTGCGAGCGCGTCATCGGCGACGTGGCAGCCTCAGGGCAAACGCAATAACATTGACTAGGCAATCCCATGGATGGAGCAGGGATGAGCAGGGAAATGTTGCACATAATGAAAGGAGGTTGTTGCCCAAGAAATGGCATGATGTCCGGCCTGCTTTGTACATCCAAAACGAGCAGTTCGTACGAGACTTCCTCCAAAAGTCACACGTCAAGTCTCCAAAACGAGCGTTTCGTACGAGACTTCCTCAAAAAGTCACACGTCATGTCTCCAAAACGAGCCTTTCGTACAAGACTTCCTCAAAAACTCACGTCAAAGTCTGCAAAACGAGCGTTTCGTACAAGACTTCCTCCAAAAGTCAAGCGGAAACACCCATCGGAGCACACACATCACGCAGCCCTGCCAAGCAGTTTCGCGATTCCAGCCCCTCCAAACAACATCCGCTCACACGCCAATCCCAATGTGACAGCGACATTCACCTCTACCACAACTCACAACCTCACGATTCCCTGCGCCTGCCACGAATCTTTCCGTTTCCACACGTCTAACGCGCACAAAGTACTGCGCCTGCCACGAAATGTCACCTCCGTCACACCTCTCAACCTCACGATTCCCTGCGCCTGCCACGAGAATCGCACTTCCACGCCTCAAAACCCGCACAAAGTCCTGCGCCTGCCACGAAAAGTGACAATATCATCTCATGTGAGCTTCAACAAAATTTGCACCACACCACACGTTTGGAATGATTTCGACCCGTTCTGAGCACACTCCCATCCACCAAAATCGCCATTTCAGCTGAGACTTGTCACGAAAACCAAGCTTCGATGCCACACCCTGAAACGCAAATCCCCATGGCACGGCCACATCCAACACCCCAAAAACACGACTCTCCAAACGCTAATCCCAATGGAACTGCGCACAAAACGCTGCGCCTGTGCAGCGAAATGCATCACGTTTCTTGCGCGACATTTCATTGTCATGCAAATCACAATGGAATAGCGGCGCAAACTGACACGTGACACATCCATGCAAAGTCACTTGCAAAAGCTTCCCCCAATGGCAGCAAATTTGAGACGCGACGACGACGACAAACGACGAGAGACGACGACAGACGACGAGAGACGACGACAGACGACGAGACGACGCAAGCCATGCAAACACAGCTCCAACCCCCAGACCCCCACCTATACACTGGCCAGAAGAAAGTTGCGCTTCTTGATGTTGAAATTCATGACA